TGGTTCACCAGTCTGTCTCCCTCTCTCGCTGTCCTGTTCAGCTTCTCCTCCCAGCAAGCACTCAATCCATTTCTTTAACCTTTCCTCTGAAGTTCAGGCTTCCAAAATTTTCAACTGTGTTTGTCTTAGTTGGTCTCTGGCATCTTTGTTTTGGGGAGAGCAATGGCTCCATACAATAAGCACCAGACAGAGAACCACAAGGTCTATCATTTATCCCTTCTAGTCATTCCATAGGATAATGATGAGACTTTCTAATCTCACAAATATTTGGAATACTAGCCTGGCAATGTAGGATAAGCACTGGACCAAAAAGTTGGTTTGAACCACAAAGTTGGCAGTTGAAACTCAGCAGCCGGTCCTTGAAAACCCTAGACGGTCACTATGAGTCAGAACTGACTTTACGGTGCTCAGCAACAACAACAACATCTTTGTTTTAGAGGGTCTGTGTAGTGCATCTGCCTAGTCTGCCATCTTACCGGAAGTCCTCTGTCCTTGTTTCTTAAATGTGTGTTTTGAAAATTTTTAGTTGGAATATTAATAATTGCCTGGCTCTGCCTGGATCCTGGTCCCTGTTCTTATAAAGAGTGACCATCTGGACATACACGTATAGGGACAGTTAATCACGCCTTCTTTGAGAAGTTGATTGTGACATCATGACCACCTTGTGATTTAGTGTGAACATTAGAATTGTAGCTCCCTTTGCATGACTAAATTTATCAAGAAGCAGATTAAAGAGTGCTTGTAACAAAGTGTCATTCAAACACCAAATGATCCTCTTTGCTATGGGTGTTCTTGTAGACAACGCTCTAATAATAATAAAGACTTTTCTCTTTCAATGTTTATCTGGAGTGTTTGTTATTTGGAGTCAATTTTTCCAGGGTATTGAACCCAAACGTTGAGGTAACAGTGCTTCCAGCATTGTATCCATTTTTGAAGCATCTCAACTGGTATTGTGTCAGTTTCTGGAGCCTCGTTTTTTGGGTGGTATTTTCAGTGTAGCTTGGACTTCTTCCATCACTACCTTCAAGTCCCTCTGGGTGGGCTCAAACCACCAGTCTTTTGGCTAGTAGTCAAGCGTGTAACCATTTGTATCACCCAGGGATTCTAACCCCAGTCTAGTCATACGGGAACATCAGACAAATTTAAATGGAGGGACATTTTGCAGAAAAACCTGACCAGTATTCCTCAAGACTGTTGAGGCTATGTAAAGCAGGGAAAGTCTTATCAACAGTCACCGACCAGAGGAGATATGATGTCTACATGCATTGTGGGATCTTGGATTGCATCCCAGAGGACACTAGTGGAAAAACAGATGAGACAGGAATAAATCCGGAGTTCTGGTGTGGCACTGTGGGTTAATGAGCAGGACTGCAAAGTTGGTTTGAACTGCAAGGTTGGTGATTCAAGCTCACCAGGTGCTCCTTGGAAACCTATACAGGGTTGCTATGGGTTGGAACTAACTCAACAGTACTTAATAACAACAACAATGTACCATTAAAGACCTTTGGTAGCATAGTGCTTACAAATTGGGCTGCTAACCTCAAGGTCAGCAGTTCAAAACTACCAGCTGTTCCACAGGAGAAAGATGAGGCATTCTGTTCCCGTAAAGATTTACAGCCTTGGAAACCCTGTACAGGGTGGCTATGAGTCATAACCATACCACCAATGTACTGTTGTTGATGTCATAGTTTTAACAAACCTGCCACGATAACATTAGGGGAACTGAAACTAGATGAGGGATATACAGGAAATCTACTATTTTTATAACTTCTCTGTAAACAATAACTTACTTTTAAAAAAGAAAGAAAAACCAATAACAAAAACATAAAATAAAATCTAGAAGCAACATAGCAAAATGTTAGTAGTAACTGTGGTTATTGTGTGCTATGGAGTTGGTTCCAACTTAAATCCTGTATTGGGTTTCTGAGGTTGCAAATCTTTACGGGAGCAGAAAGCCTCATTTTTCTCCTGAGGAATGGCTGATAATTTTGAACTGCTAACCTTGAGGTTAGCAGCCCAATTCATAACCCACTAGGCTATCAGGTCTCCTTATATTTGTTGTTGTTGTTAGGTGCCATTAAGTTGGTACCAACTCATAGTGACCTTATGCACAGCAGAACAAAACACTGCCCGATCCTGGGCCAAGCTCATTACTATTGCCATGCTTGAGCCCATTGATGCTGCCACCTGGCCAATCCATCTCGCTGGGGACCTTTCTCTTTTTCTCTGACTCTCCACCTTACTAAACATGATATCCTTCTCCAGCGACTGGTATGAGAGGTGAAGTTTGGCCATCCTGGCCTCCAAGGAGCATTCTGGCTGCACTTCTTCCAACATAGATCTTTGGTTCTTTTGGCAGCCCATGGCACTCCAACACCATAACTCAAAAGCATCAGTTCTTCTATGGTCTTCCTTATTTACTGTCCAGCTTTCACATGCATATGAGGTTATTGAAAATACCATGGCTTGGGTCAGGCACACCTTAGTCCTCAAGCTGACATCTTTGCTCTTCAACACTTTAAAAAGGTCTTGTGTAGCAGATTTGCCTAATGCAATACGTCATTTGATTTCCTGACTGCTGCTTCCGTGAATGTTGATAGTTGGTCCAAGAAGAATGAAGTCCTTGACAACTTCAATCTTTTCTCCATTGATAAGAATGCTGTTTATTGGTCCAGTGGTGAGGATTTTTGTTTTCTTGACATTGAGATGTAATCCATACTGAAGGTTGTGCTCTTTGATCTTCATCAGTAAGAATTTTAAGTCCTCTTCACTTTCAGCAAGCAAGGTTGTATCATCTGCATATCGCAGGTTGTTGATGAGTTTTCCTCCAATCCTGATGCCATGTTTTTCTTCATAGAACCCAGCTTCTCGGATTATTTGCTCAGCATACAGGTTGAATAAGTATGGTGAAAGAATACAACCCTGTCACATACCTTTCTTAATTTTAAACCATTCAGTGTTCCCATGTTCTGTTTGAACAACTGCCTCTTGGTCCATGTACAGATTCCTCATGAGCACAATTAAGTGTTCCGGAATACTCATACTTCTCAATGTTGTCCATAGCTTGTCATGTCACACACAATCGAAAGCCTTTGCATAGTCAATAAAGCACAGGTAAACATCTTTCTGATATTCTTTGCTTTCAGCCAAGATCCATGGGACATCAGCAATGATATCCCTTGTTCCACGGACTCTTCTGAATCTGGCTTGAACCTCTGCAAGTTCTCTGTCAATGTATGCTGCAGCCGTTTCTGCATTACCTTTAGTAAAACTTTACTCGCATGGGATATCAAAGATATTGTCCAATGAGTTCTGTATTTCGTTGGGTCACCGCTCTTTGGAATGGGCAAAAATACGGATCTCTTCCAATCAGTTGTCCACATAGTTGTCTTCCAAATTTCTTGGCATAGATGAGTGAATGCCCCCAGTGCCGCCTCACTTTCTTTAAAGATTTCAACTTTTATTCCATCAATTCCTGGTGCCTTGTTCTTTGCCAATTCCTTCAATGCACCTTGGACTTCCTCTTTCAGTATCATTGGCTCTTATATTTAGGTGGTGGGAAAAAAATGTGTGTACTGTTTTTGTTTGTCAAATGTTCATTAATTAGGATATATTCCTTTGATTAGAAAAGTCTTGTTTCATGACAACAAAAGAACTAAATGAAGCATTTTTCAAGATACCTATATCATCTCATTAAGATTCTTCCATTTTACAGGTGAGGAAATAACTGAGAAAATCAAAGTGACATGCCTAAAATCATGTAACAAACAAGAGGAGTAGCTGGGATTTGAACATAGGTTGGTCTGGCTGGGAGGGGTGTCAGAGAAACAGGAAAGTTTATCCCATCCCTTTGTGGCCCCAGGGTGGTCTGTCGCCTAAGCAGATTATCTGTTCAGCTCAAGGAAGAATTTGTAACTAGATTTGTCCAAACAGAGTATGGGTTTCCTGGGAAGGTAATGCGCTTTCTATCACTGGAGGTATCCAAGTAGAATACCATGGAGTGTCTTGTGGGGCTCTTCAGGAGAGCTGACATTGTAGCTCCCTCCTCACAGAGTCCTGTCTCAGGCGCACTCTGCGAACTCTGGTAAATTGGTCCAGGAGGACGTGGTGTCTCCAACACATGCCAGAAACCCGAAAGACCAAGGCAGGCGTGTTTCCTCCACCTGGCTAGGAACTGGAGTGAGGGCTGGGAGATGGGGAAAGGAGATAGCGTCTGGGGCTCCCCCTTTATTTGTATCATTCCCCTCCCTCACCGAGGTGGTTCAGCGATAGAATTCTGGCTTTCCACGATGGAGGCCAGCTTTCGATTTCCGGTCAGTGTACCTCATGCACAGCCACCACATCTGTTGTTATTATGCTGAACAGATTTCAGAGGAGCCCTCAGACTAAGACTAGGAGGAAATGCCTGGTGATCTACTTCTGAAAATCAGCCCAAATCACCCCGATAGATGACAACGATCCAATCCCTATTGTGCATGGGGTCACTAAAAGTCCAGCAGGGTCCATGGCAGCTAACAATCCCAAATTCCATGAAGGGAGGTTGTTGTTGTTAAGTACCGTGGAGTCGGTTCCGACTTATAGTGACCCTGCACAGGGTTTCCGAGGCTGTAAATCTTTACGGGAGCAGGAAGCCTCATCTTTCTCCCGCTGAACCTCTGGTAGTTTCGACCTACCGATCTTGAGGTTAGCAGCCCGACTCGTAACCACTACGCTACTAGAGCTCCTTACCCGGAGGTAGGGACCGGCTTTTATTTACTCAGCATCTCCCTAATCTGACACTTTCATCCGGGCGACCTACGAAAATGAGAGGCAGGTATTGCAACCGTATTTAGAGATGAGAAAACTGAGGCTGGGAACGGAAAGTGGCTTGCCCAACTGTGCCGGCTGGGTACCCTCAGCAGCGGCTCCTCCCATCCCGCCCCAGCTGGGCGGGACAACCACACCGCAAGCAGCTTCAGATGCGAGCTGGCGCCTCACTGCCGGCAGATTAGCTGTGCGACATGGAGGCGGTGCCGCTGGAGGACTTCGTGCGCGCCCTGGACCCTGCCTCCCTCCCGCGGGTGCTACGCGTCTGCTCGGGGGTCTACTTCCAGGGTGAGTGGATCCAGACCTCCTTCTCTGCCCCGCCGCGGCCAGGCTCAACTCGGGTGTGCCGAGGCTGAGCGCTGCAAGGGCATTTGTTGAGGTGGTGGTTGTTAAGAGCTGTCGCATCGGTTCCGATTCATAGTGACCCTTATATAGGGTTTCCAAGGAGCGGCTGGTGGGTTTGAACCATCCACCTTGCGGTTAGCAGTCCAATGCTTATCTTACAGTTCCACGACAGGACACCCAAAGGTGTGAGAACCCGGGAAAACGCTCCACCGCTTCGCATCTCCAGTAGCACCAGAGCCGTGTGACCTCTTTGGCCTCAGTGACTGCTCGGTAGAATAGGGGCGCTGACTTGCCCCGTTGGGCAGTGATAAAAAGTCGTTTGGTTCTGCAGTATGGAGGTTGGGTGTAACAGAGCGAAGCTGCCTGGAACCGCAGCGCGCCCGTAGGAAACGACTTGGGGTGCCCTTGACGCACAGCTGTTACTAGATTCTTAAGTGCTCCGTCTGCCAGCTTCTCTCCGGCCCTCTGCTCAGTGCCCTTGACGCTCCCTCATCCCACCTCCAATCCTTTAGCCTCCGCTTGGCAATGTCTTTAGTTCTCAGCTTAAATGGCTCTTCCTTCTCGAGGCTTCCCTGAGCTGACTCCTTAGGAGGCTTCCACATCTGCTCTCTGGCTACCCGGGCTCTGGTAACGTAGTGTTTACGAATCGGGCTGCGAACCACAAGGTCAGCAGTTCGAAACTACCAGCGGTTCCACGGGAGAAAGATGAGGCTGTCTGCTCCCGTAAAGATTTACAGCCTCTGCACTATGAGTCAGAACCGACTCCACGGCACATAACAACAATATTGTGTGAAAGAGTAAGAGAAAGGGACTTCCAGGCAACGGGAGGGTGAGCGGTGGGGAGGGTGGGGTGGTGGTGGTAGTGGTTAGGCTGTGGGCAGCCCAGTTACGCGAGAAGGAACCGAAATGCACTGTGCGGGGGTGCAGGCTCTTTTCTTAGCAAACAAATGCTTGGGTGCCCTGGCTCATCCTGCCCCCAGCAGAGGAAAATTTGCTCGGCCATGTTAAAGTGCCGTCGAGTGGGTTCCGACTCATAGCGAGTCCGCAGGTGGACTTGATCCACCAGCCTTGCAGTTCAAACCGACCTTTCGGTCCAGTGCTTATCCTACAGCACCACACCTCTGCCCTGAAGCCCCAAGTGCTGTCCTAGACCTAGGAGCCAGGTCACAGTGGTCCACTTGGGACTTTTACAGAACTGGGTTCAAATCCGGGCTATACCTCTGGAAGCTCGGTGCAGAAGCCTGTAATCTGGTGTGTTCGCTCTTCCCTGGCATAAGGATCAAGTTCCTCATCCTCCAGCTAGTCACCAGTGTCCCAATACCTGTTCCCCATGAGGTGAACCCAGTGCAAGTTAGAGGAATATGAGTAAGAACCTGAGGAGGTTTGACTGAGTGGATGGGATGAGAAAGTCAAACTACAGAAGATACTAATTGGGGAAGGCCACTAAGGAGGCCATTGGTGTTGCAGCTACTTGGTTAAGAACAATGGAAGCAAACAAACCAGGGTTTGCAGTCCAACTCAGTCTATTAGCTGATAATTCTGAGCAACTGATCTCCCTTCTCTGAAGCTATTTGGGAAATAGAAACTGCCCCTCCAAAGGCAGTTCATCGTGCATTAATGCGATGTTGTACTGTGCACCATATATTGTAAGCGCTCAGCACTTAGCCACTGTTCTCACCAGCCTGGAGGATCCAGCCCCTGAAACTATTTTTTAATGTTTTATTGTGAATTATGTGATAGTTTACATGGGAGAACATTAGCTTTACATTCATCCTATCATATATCATTTCATTGCCATGGTTACAATCCCCTCCATGCATCATCAACCAACCAAGGGTATATACCCTGCAAGCCTGTCCCCCGGTCGTCAGCACACAGCCCCTCTCCCTTTCTGGTTCTAGAGTCCCCAGCAGTTCCATCTCTCCACGTCATCTCTCTCCATGTCATCGTCTGTGCCTCCATCTCTGGCGTCATTGTTTCTCTGGCCAGTCTTCTCCCTCGATGGCCCCAGGGACCTCCGCTCCCCTTCTTTTGCTACAAAATGTCTACCTTTACATTTCCAACCCTCATAGTCAGTCCTGATAGCAATTTTTCACTATTGCACCACATGAGTTCTATCCCCATCTCCTTTCATCAGTCCTACCCAGACAGATTGGATACTACTCAGTGGAGATTCTACCTTCCTCCACACCCTCTGGATCTAGTCTCCTTCTTGAAAACTTGTAACCCAGTCACTTTTTGCCTTTGTAGTCCCCCCATTTTGGGTAGCCAATGTCCAAGTTGCCCATCCCTGTCTACTCTTTGTATGGAGGGGGTGGGAATGATTCTTGCTGTAAGGATTTGTTCCCTCTTTTGAGCTACTGCTTCCATAGCTGTAGGTCAAGTTCATCAAATTGTATCAGATTACTTTTTTCCTCTTCTTTTTCTAGTTCTCATCATCCAGTCATTGAAGCCAGGTCAAGTGGGTATTATCTACAAGTGTGGGTGTTCTTGTGCATATGCCCTCTCTTCTTATCAGCTGGACACTTCATTCTCCACTCTAGTCTTCTGTGGCTATGTCACTGACTCTGGGCCCACGAGTCCCCAGGTCCCTGAAACTGTTTTATGAGCCTTTATATGCCTTCTTGGAGTCCTGGTATGACATTGTAGGATAAGCACTGGACTGCTAACCACAAGGTTGGCTGTTCTAACCCACCAGCTGCTCCTTGGAAACCCTTTTGCAGGGTTGCTATGAGTGGGTGCCTGTTTGATGACAGAAGGTTTTCTGTCAGTTTCTCAGGGCTGATGATAAGGACACTGCTGGTGCTGCCCTGCAGGCGAGTGTAGAGTCAAGTGGCCTCCAAGGCCCACCCACCCGCTGTTTCCTATCCCCCACCCACACTCAACACCAATTAGCTGGATGGAGAGTTAGGTACCAACCCTGGCTCTGTGATTGTGGAGAGTCACTGACCTATGAGCCTGTCTCATAACTGTACAATGAGGGAGTTGGGTTTCAGTGAGCCATTTACTCATTCTTGAGTTGTTGTTAAAAGTGCTGTTGAGACAGTTCTGACTCATAGCAACCTGATATAGGGTTTCCAAGATGCTGCTGGTGGGTTTGAACTGCTGACCTTGTGGTTCTCAGTCTAGTGTTGATCCATACCAGGAGTCCATTCTTGAGTTAGCACCTATATAACGGCCAGGCCTTGATGCTTTGATGCCTTGTCCTAGTTGCCTTGATGCTAAGATGGACCAATCTTAACACGGATGCTGTTATGTGCCATCAAGTTGCTACCAACTCATAGTGACCTTATGCACAACAGAACGAAACACTACCTGGTTCTGTGCCAACCTCACAATCCTTGCTACCACTGAGCCCTTTGCTGCTACCACTGTGTCAGTCGATCTTACTGGGCATCTTCCTCTTTCTCTCTGACCCTTCACTTTACCAAGCATGATTTCCTTCTCCAGAGACTGATCCCTCCTGATACTATTATGTCTGAAGTTTGAGAGATGCATCATGGCTATCATGGCTTCTAAGGTGCATTCTGGTTGTACTCCTTCCTACACAGATTTGTTTGTTCTTCTGGCAGTCCATGGTACTTTTAATATTCGCCTCCAACACCATAACTCAAATGCATCAATTCTTCAAACGCAGGTATGGAGATATGAAAAAGGCCAGAGAAGTGTACTTGACCATCTGAGAGTCTGAGGACCACTGAGCCCATGGGCTTTAGGCAAGGAAGTAATTCCAGGCAGATGAACATGAATGCAAAGATGTAGCTTTTGGGGGGAGTATCCAGTGCTTGGACCTTGCTACACTGAGACCAAATGGAGTCCATGTTTCCACAGGTTCCATCTACGAGCTATCTGGGAACGAATGCTGCCTCTCCACAGGGGACCTCATCAAGGTCACCCAGGTTCATCTCCAGAAGGTGATCTGTGAGAGCCTGAGGAAGGATCAGATCATGGAACTTGCCCCCAACTTCCAGGGTAAGGTCTCCCTAAGATCCTGGCACCCTCCAGCTACACCTGTGGCCCTGGCACACATTCCCACCTCTGGGTTTGCATATAAGGCTCATGCCCACCACTGCTCAAGGCTCATTCAAGCCTCAAGGCTGGAAATGCTGAGAGTGCCAAGTCTGGCGTGGCTGCCCCCATCCCAGCATGCCCTCACAGCAGTTTCCCCTCTTGACTCGGAGTCCAGTCACAGCCCATGGCCTTGTCTCTTGTCCCCTTCAGGCTGCAACAGTCCTTCCATGTTTTGATGTGGATATGTTGGAAAAGACCAGACCAGTACTTTTGTAGAATAGTCTTCAATCCCAATTTGTTTGATGTTTCCGTGATTAGGTTCAGGTTGTTCCTTTGGGTCAGAAAATCCCAGATATAACTTTCTGTCTAGAAGTGGGGAATTTTAGGCCAGTCAGATGACAAGTGGAGAATGGATTGGGTGGGGAGACAGTCAGGTAAGGAGCATCCAGTCAGCCAAAAGTGAGAAAGACAGGACCTAGGGATGGAGGGGTTAGGGGAGAGCTGTCAGAGGTCATAGTGGCCAGTAGCTTCTGTATTTCTAGTGTGGGAGAGATGGACAGTGACATTGCCCCAGGATGAGGTGAGGGTGTGTGGGATTGGAGTGCTGGGAAGCATCTGTTGGAAATCACAGGTGGCAAAGTTAGAGACATGTAGGGGCTTAGGAGGTAGAAATGTAGAGCTGCTGGTGTCTGCGAGGGACATGTCCTTTTGTTCTTTGTGTCTCTGCCCTTTACTGTCCATTCATACACGGTCACTCACCACCTCCCTTCCCTCAGCCCTGATATCCAGATGCAAAGTCACCCTTGGCATCTATCCTCGAAGGATCTGGGTTGGCAGTGGGCTAGATCTGGGCCTGGTATATGCAGCCCCGGGCCCAGCAAAGTCCTGCCCACTGACTCTCCTGTCCTCTGCTTTGCCCCACAGGCCACTTCAGCCCCCTCACTGGTCCTCAGAGCTACAGAACCCTGGAAGACCTGGTTACTGCCACCAACCGGAGCTCCAAGCCACTGCCCATTTACTTCATATCAACCCAAAGCATGGCTGTAAAAGGCATTGAGGTACCTGAGAACGAGCCCCTGATACTTGAAGCTGTGGAGATGCACCTAGGGATCTGCTGTGCCCGATGTGTCCTGAGCACAGTTGCCCAGAAGGTCATTCTGCACCTACCCCTGTCCCAGAAGGGAGTCTTCTGGGAATGGAAGACTGGTGCGCCCCGGACCCTGCTGCAGGCCCTGCAAGACCCAGCCCTGAGGAACCTCCCCGTCACTTGTCCCAACCTGCCCTGGAGCTCGCTGATCCTGAGGCCCCAGTATGAGGTTCATGCCATCATGCACAGTGAGTTGCACAGGCAGTAGGTTGGGAGCTAGGGGATTAGAAGAGGGCCCTAGGGAGCTGCTTTGATGGAAGCCCCCGCCCCCTCCACCAAGTGGATCATCTAGGAAGTTCAGGTGGTTTACCAATATACTTCTGGTATATACTTCTGGTGTGGCGCTGCGGTTTGGGCTGTTAAGGCTGGCAGTTCCAACTCACCAGCTGCTCCTTAGAAACCTTGTATAGGATCGTTATGAGTCGGATCCCGACTCAATGGTACTTAGCAACAACCAATATATGGTGGTGATGTGCCGTGGAGTCGGTCCAACTCAGAGTGACCCTGTACAGGGTTTCTGAGGCTGTAAATCTTTCTGGAAGCAGAAAGCCTCATTTTTTCCCCGCGGAACAGCTGATAGTTTTGAACTGTTGACCTTGAGGTTTGCAGCATGATTTGTAGCCACTAGGCTACCAGAGCTCCTTTTACCAAAATATACAGGAGGAGAATATGGACAGTACGATGGGCTGTCAAAAGAACCAACAGATCTATGTTGGAAGAAGTACAGCCAGAATGCTCCTTGCAGGCCAAACTTCATCTCCCATACTTCAGACATATTGTCAGGTGGGACCAGACACTGGAGAAGGATATTATGTTTGGTAGGGTGGAGGAGGATCAGAGAAAAAGAGGAAGACCCCCAGCAAGATGGATTGGCAAAGTGGCAGCATCAATGGGCTCAAGTGTGGCAACGATAGTGAGGTTGGCCCAGGATCGGGCAGTGTTTTGTTGTTGTACATAGGGTCGCTATGAGTCGGTACTGACTCGATGGCACTTCACCACCACCACCACCACCACCAATATATACAATATAACCAAGTAAAGTTTCTCAAACAAGTGGGAAACTGGGCATAAAAGAGATAAGAAAATGAGATAAGGTAAGGGTAAGGTCCCACATACTTTGTAGAACTGGACAAAAGTTGGGTTCTGAGCTTGCTAGCAGCTGGCCCCAAAATACAGTGTCACAAAGTGAAAATGTGACCCGATGCTTGGGAGCAGCGTACTTTTATGACTCTCAGGAATCAGTCATTCCCGGAGGTCCTTGATGATAGGACACTTGTCTGAGTGAGTCCCCCAGCTGCTGCTCAGGTCATCCCTCAGTGCAGGCAGGGGCAGCATGCCAGAGCAGTTCACACAAGACAGGAGCTGTCCAAGTGTGGCCAGTCAGAGGCCAAACCTAGCTGATAGGAGAATGGATGTCCAGAGACTGCTTCCCCAGAGTACAGAGTTTCAGATTCTACCCCCTGGCAGTTACCTCGAGAGAGGTGGAGTTGCTGGTGAACTACAGAGCCAAGTGAGGCTTCTTTGCCCTAAAAAAATAATTTAAAGCTTTTTTAGTATGGAAAAAGGAAAACATATACAAAAGTAAGGAGGGAATAGTATAATGAATCCACCATCCAACGTCAAAATTACCAACTCATGGTCTACCTTGTTTCCTCTCTGCCCATCCTCAACTCTGATTATTTCAAAGCAAATCCAGACATATGATTTCTCTTATAAATACTCCAATGTTTCTTTTTAAAAATGACTTTTAAAAAAAGACCCATCATACCATCATCACACCAAAAAATTAACAATACCTCCTTAAGATAACCAAACATCCATTTGATGTTTGAATTTCCCCTATTTTTTTTTCCATTTTTCTTTTTCTTTTTTTAATGTTTTATTGTGAATTATATGATAGTTTACATGAGAGAACTTTAGTTTTACATTCATTCTATCGTATATCGTTTCATTGCCATGGTTCCAATCCCCTCCATGCATCATCAACCGACCAAAGGGTATACCCTACAAACCCGCCCCCTACACAACCCCCCACCCCCACCCCCCCAGTCTTCAGCACACAGTCCCTTTCCCTCTCTGGATCCAAAGTCCCCAGCCACTTCATCACCCCACGTCATCGTCTCTGCCTCTATCTCAGGCCTCGCTGCTTCTCTGGATAGGGTCACACTCTCGGTATCCTAGAGACCTCCGCTCCTAGACTGAAGAGTTAATCACTCCCCTCCTTGCTATAAAACACCTACCTTTACATTTCCAACCCTCACAATCAGTTCTGATAACAATTATTCACTATTGTATCACAAGTGACCCATCTGCGTTTCATTTCATCAGCTCCACCTAGACAGATTGTATAGTACTCACTGGAGATTTTGCCTTCCTCCAGGCCCCCTGGCTCTAGGTCCCCTCTTGAAAGCTTGAAAGCCACCAGTCACTGCTTGCCTGTGCCTTTATTGCCCCCTCATTTTAGGTAGCCAATGTCCAAGTTGCCCATCCCTGTCTACTCTGTGTGTGGAGGGGGTGGGAATGATTCTTGCTGTTAGGATTTGTTCCCTCTTTTGAGTTACTGCTTCCATAGGTGTAGATCAAGTTCATCAAATTGTATCAGATTCCCCTATTGTTTTATAACTTTTTAAAAAATTTATTCAAATCAGGATCCACCTGTTGCCATTAGCTAAGTCTTTTAATCTCTAAGTTCCTTTTTCTTTGCTATTTTTCTTGGAGAAACTAGGCCATTGTTCTATAGTTTTTTTATATTTCTGATTTTGCTGACTGCATCCTTGCTGTTGTTGTTAAGTGCCATTGAGTCAATTCCCATTTATAGCAACCCTGTAAAGAGTGTTTCCAAGGAGCATCTTGACTCTGGCCTTGTGGTTCACAGTCCAGTGTTGACTCTAGTGCCTCACTAGGAGTTCTTGTAGTGGGTTTAATATGTTCCTCTGTCTCCTGTATTTCCTGTTGTGTTGGGAGCTCCAGAGTTCCATACCCAGCCTTGATAATTTGTTCCCACAAAGATTTAAAGCCTCGGAAACCTTGTACAGGGTCACTGAGTTGGAGCTGACTTGATGGCACTTAACAACATATCGACATAGTCACACATGACATGTGATTGCTTTGACTCATAATAATCCAGTGTGGGAGGCATAGATGGGCCATGAGTTAGATGCTAAAGTTGCTCATGGGTGTTCATTATACTATTCTACTTGTAGAAATGTTTGGTTTTCAGGCTAAATGAAGAGTGGGTAAGGAGTCTGGTACAATAGAGAAATGCTGGTAAGAAAGAAAAGATGAAAACAGGAAAGCGGTCAGCAAGCCCTTTGCTGAAGTGGAGGGAATTGCATTTGGGCAGCACGTGGTAGCCCCTGAGCTGAGTTTTCCTCTCCACAGTGCGCAGAACTACTGTCAAGATCCCCTCCACGCTGGAGGTAGACGTGGAAGATGTCACTGACTCCTCCCAGCACATCCACTTCATCAAACCACTGCTGCTGAGTGAAGTCCTGGCCCAGCAAGGCCCCTTCCCCCTGCTCACGGAGATCCTAGAAGTTCCAGAGGGGCCACCCATCTTCCTCAGCCCATGGGTGGGCTCCTTGCGGAAAGGCCAGAGACTCTGGATCTATGGCCAGGCCTCGCCACCCTGGCGGGTCCTGGCCTCAAGCAAAGGCCGCAAGGTGCCCAGACACTTCATAGTCTCCGGGTTCTACCAAGGAAAGCTGCGGCGGCGACCTCGGGAGTTCCCTACGGCCTTTGACCTACTGAGTACTTTCCAGCCAGGCCAGTCGCTCAGAGTGGTGACCACCAAGGATTGTGAGGGCGAGGGAGAAGGGAACCCTGAGTTTGCCTCCCTGGCTGTGGGTGACCGGCTGGAGGTGTTGGGATCTGGCCAGACCTACGGGGCCCACGACAGGGAGATGGATGTCCTGGTGTGTCAACGGCTGGGTGACCAGGCTGGGGAGGAAGAGTGTGAAGAGGCAGAGAACCAAGAAAGAATTCTGCTGCCCCTCTACTTCTCGGGCAGCTTTGTGGAGGAGATGAATGATGCCCGGCGCTACAGTCTGGCAGATCTGACTACCCAGTTGTCACTGCCCTGTGAGGTCAAGGTGGTGGCCAAAGACACCAGCCACCCTGCTGACCCCCTGCCTTCCTTCCCTGGTCTCCGGCTGGAGGAGAAAATCATGGAACCTTTCTTGGTGGTCAGCCTGGACTCCGAGGCTGGGATATGCTTCGAGATCCCTCCTCGATGGCTGGATCTCACTGTTGTGGAAGTTGAGGGGCAGCCAGGCCAGCCAACTGGGCCTCCCCCTGCAGCCACAGTGGAGGAGCTGACAGAAGCCTTCTACTATCGCCTTCGGAAGTTACCAGCCTGTGAGAACCAACTACCGCCTCCCAGGCCCCCCAAAAAGCAGGAGGGGCAGAAGAGCAGAGAAGGAAGCATCAAGGTATCAAAATCACCAGGGTGGGCAGGGAGGGGGTCAGGGGTCATCTGCTGGGAAGAACTGAGTCCACTGCAAGCCCTGCTGATTCTTTTGTCTGGCCTCACGTTTCTATTGGAATGATGCAGAACGTTGCCGCTTTTAAAGCACACTCTGCACCTACTAATCTTATTTGGTTTGATCACCCAGATTTATGCTTGAGAAAGTATGGGCTCAAAGACTCCGTGACTAGCACAAAGTCCCACAGCAAGTAAATGGCAGAGCGGTAACTTAAGCGTAAACATTCCGACTCACTCTTTGCCACTCTCACGACTCAGCACTTTTCACTGCAACTGTGTCAGCAGCTTCAATCTCCCTGACAGCTGTCAGAATGGCCTTCCCAAGCCTTTCCTGTCTTGGCTGGACCTTGATCCTATCTTCTGAGATCTTCAGAAAATGACTCCCCACTGTGGGGAGTGGTATACAACCCCCTTAACATGGCAGCCAAGGCCATATATAGTCTGACTTCACTTCCGCCTTCCTGGGCTCTTCTGTCAACCACTCACTCTGCTCAGCTTGGACGCCCTCAGTGTGACTGTGCACATGCTGTTCCTTTTGCCTGGACTGTTCTTCTTCCTTTAAGGCCTGGCACAAGGCTCTGGTCAGATTTTCTCCTAGGCAACGTGACAGTCTCCCGTTTTCTGAATTCACCTGGCATGTTATACGCCTTGGGGAACAGAGTTTTTAGTTACCAATGACAGATTAACAGATGATAGGCAAAAGAAAAAGTCAGAAAGACAAAATTTATGTCCTAATTTTCTTACTCTATAGCCTATACAAGTTACTCCTTTTCTCTGAGCACCTTTTCTACCAGTAAGTAAATCATGACTTAAAACCACCTAGCTCACCAAACCCCAACCACTGCCATCAAACTGACTCTGACTCACAACGACCTGATAGTACCTTTGGGTTTCTGAGACTAAACCTTTAAAGGTACAGTCAGTCTCATTTTTCTCCTAAGAAGTGGCTTCTTGGTTTGAACCTTCAACCTTGTGGTTAGTAGCCCAATGCTTAACCCAGTATACCATGAAGATTCCTTACCTAGTTCACAGTGCTGTTTTACTTGCCGGCGTGAGCCTGCAGGATAACGCACTGGACTACAAGGTCGGTTTGAACTGCAAGGTTGGTTGTTCAAACCCAACAGCCACTCCTCAGAAACCCCTGTACAGGCTCACTGAGTCAGAAACAACTCAACTGTACTTACCATCTACCAGGTGCTTGTTCTGGGCCACCAACCATATGGAACTGTCCCTAGCTAGCTCTCACACATGGCACACATCACACAGCAAGCTAGTAGCAGGGCCAGGGTTTGAATTGGGTCTGACCACACAGCCTTAGCTCTTCTTCTGCTCTTCGGAGATGATAAATATGAAAAGCATTTGACAAACCCTGACAAGTGTAGAGTCTGGGGATCTCAGGAGACTGGTATTTAGTACTGTGTGGATACCGTGCAGTGGGTTAAGGGCTTGGCTTCTAACTGTAAGGTCGCTGATTTGAACCCACAAGCTTCTCAGAGGGAGAAAGATGTGGCCATCTACTTCTGTAAAGATTAGTCTTGGAAACCCTATGAGGCAGTTCTACCTTGTCCTCTAGGGTCATTATGAGTTGGAATTGACTCAGTGGCAGCAGGTTATTTTTATTATTTTTTAAATATGTGGTGGAATGGCAGTGGAAGTTAACAAAATGAATACCCAAAGCAATCTCAGTTCCAGAGGGGTCCCTATCTGCAGCAGGGTGACCATCATTTTCTGACAGGAAACGAATAGACTGGGACTTCATCTGAAACACAGGCCTTACAACAGTGCTGGACAGAACATAGTATACAGAATTGAAAGACTCCAGGGCCAGCACTAGCTCTTGATCAAAGTGACACTGAGGTGTCAAGTGCTTGCAGCTCTTGAACCATTTAACTTTTCCCCTCTGGCCATCAGTACTCAGCTGTTCCTGGAGGGCGAAGTGATGTTTGCTTTCTGAAGTGCAGTGGAAAGAATGCCCAGTTCGAGGCCACCAACATGGTGCTGGCTTCAAGCTCTGGTCCAGTTGTGGCTCCTGTGTAAACTTACAAGGACCATTCTCACTCAGCCCTTTTCTTCCTGTGTATACTGGGAATTGAAACAGCTGTTTGGAAGATGTCCACTGTAAGACTGGACTGCTAACTGCAAAGTCAGCAGTTCCAACCCACCAGCCACTCCTCAGAAACCCAATACAGGGTCACTATGAGTCAGAATCCACTGAAACTGCACTTAACACTTAAGAGGATAATTTGAGGATTACTGAACAGTCATGCAGAGATATGGCACCAAATAATTCAATAAAAACTCTTCCCTTTCAGCTCTGGTACTCTCTTCTGAGGCTCTGTGATTTGGTTTCCTGGGGTAGCTCTAGTTTACACTTTACTCCTTCATAATAGAACTGAAGGATACTGACCAAACCCCCATGTGGATATCCCAGGAACAACCTGTCTCCAGCCTCTAGACCTATTCTTATCTCCCACCCTCATCCTTTTCTCCCCTGCAAAGGGTTTTATGTGCTTGATGATAACCAGGGGCCTAAGAAACTGTACCCTGGAAAGAAAGTAGAGAGGGAGGCAGAGAAGTTGACAGTTTATGTAAATTATGTTACTTGGACTCTCCTTCCCTGTTTTTTGGACCCCTGCTGATTCTTGTTCCTTTTCTCCCACTTAGTCTTCTCAAGTTTTAGGACTGGAGCAATCTCCTCTGTTACCCAAACACAAGATGAAGACCTTCCCAGGGTTCTCCAAGGACAGCTCCAACGTATACAGCCAGGTTACTACTGCCCACAAGAAGGGCCTCAAGCCCACTAAGGCCAACACGTGGGATTCAAGTGAGTCCACAGCAGCTCTGGTCACCCTTGTCCCCTTGCTCCTCCTTCTCCTTACCTTCACTTCTCTGCTACTTCCTTACCTCTAGCAGTGCTGTCCATATCCCCCTGTGGTCCCGATGTGGTGGAGTGGGCTGAGGCTGAAGGGTCCTGACTGTCCCTTTCCTGAGGGGCTACAGAGCGCCAATATACTCTCCCACAGCATACAGGGCTATCCAGGGGAAGTGTTCAGTACTGAACAGTGGTTCTTAAAGCAGGGTCTGGAACACCTACAAAACCACCACCTGTACTGCTCTGCCCCACCCAGACCTGCTCAGTTAGACAAAATCTGTGTGTGGGGTCAGAAACCACCAAAGTTTCATTCTCAATGAAATGGTTGCAGTGTTCAGACAGAACAAATTATGATTTCTGGGCTAGCAAGGGCCTTAGATAAATCTAGATCAACCCAGTCTCTGTACAGATAAGGAAATCATATTAGAGGGAAGGAACTTGCCCAAGACCCAAGATCCTCCTTGACTTACACTATTTTACAGATAAATATGAACACGATTATGAAGAAATACTTGAACACTTTCAAAAAGCTAAGTGTTAAAGAAATCATACTTCTATCAGACGCTTCGCAGAGAATCCCAGACACCAGCCAACTGCTACATGCCTTTGAAAGCCCAAGGGTCAGGGCTCATGGAAATCAGACTGCGCCCGGGGAATGACTTTGCAGGGAGCAATGTGAACTGTACCAGCTTCCTTCCCTGGGGTCCTAGCTTCTGACAGGCCTGGCTCCTACAGTGTGACACCCTCAGACTTATCAATCAACTGTGCTCCACCTAACTGGAGCCACTGGCCAGTGCAGAGGAAATGTCAACCGTGTGCTGCCTGCCACTTGGAAAGGGGTCTCGGTCCTACACACTGAATCATGAGTACATTTTACTGTTTGCTACCCTTGTCCCCCACCAATGCTGAGCCCAAGGCCAGGACTGTGTCTTCTTCGTTTCTCTAGTCCCAGCAGTTAGCACATGAGAGGGAAATGGGTGTTGCATGAATGAATGTCAGAACCTGGTTTTAAGCATAGAATCTTAAAACTTTGCCCCCCTACCCCCACCCTAAGTCTGATGTAGTCAAAGGGCCTACTCTGATTGAGATCTGAGGCTGTGAAAAGCTGGCAGGTTTGATCAGGTGGCCCTAAAATATTGCCGAAGTTCTAGGGGACTACTGAAGATGGCTTCATTCTAATTCATTCTAAAACTACTGAATAAAAATAACATGATTTTTCTCTGAGTGATAATGGGTATTATTAAGTTCTGCCTGTGGACCGCACCTTTTACATTCCTGATCTAAAATCCTCTCAGCTCTGAAGGAGACAATGGGCTGATTTTCACTTTTAGGGAACAGGTACAGCAGCTAAGCAGGATGACCCTGGATAAACATCCCAGCTTGCAACCCAACCGCTATTGTTTTAACCTAGTGAGCAAGTTATTTTACTCTAAGCCAGTTTTTGCATATACGAGATACATTTCCTACCTCAAAAGATTATTTTAAGGATCAAGAAAAAGAAATTTTGTAAAGCATTTAGCAGTCTCTGGCATAGATTATTCAATGAGCATATTAGCAATGACGACCCAGCTCATATATAGCTGTATGTCTCCACAGCCTGTGAGCTCTCCACATTCCCTGGTTCCTCAGTCATGGTCTCAGCCGTGTCCAAGCATACTGTTTCTAAGGCTTGGAGACAGAGCACTGATGGTGGGAGAGCCACATCAACTTGCAGAGCAGAGATAGAAGAGAACTGACTTGGCTGCCAATGTCAGTCTAAGCCTGCTCAGTGAGGCAAGAAGTGAGGGCATGTTGGTTTCCTGGGCTGAGACTGTTCAGAAACTAAACATCGTGGTAAGCAGAGAAGACAGAAGACAGACATCTGTAAGTTTTCAGCTGAGGAGCCATAGGAAAATTCTACTGGATTCTAGGCATTGCATGTAGGTGTTATTCCTTTGCTTGCTAACATCTCTCTGGGCTCCAGACCCAGGCTACACACCCACATGGAATTTGCCAGGTGACAACAGCTACCACAGGCTGTTGAGCCAGTTCCCAGCATCCACCAAATACTTCATGCTCCTCTTCCCACCACCACTCAGGTCCTCCTCCAAAGAGACCAACTCGAAGGGCACAAGAGGTACCTGAGGCTCTGAGAAAAATAAGCTAAAAAAGACTAGTTTCTCCATTGCTTGGAACCCAGAGGGGACATACTCATATGCAAAATGCCAGCTCTCACTTCCACTTTCAAACTTATTCTTGGCACTTAATTGATCGAGAGTAGTAAAGTCATCCTAGGACACGGAGAGAGAGCTACCAGTTCCTAAAAGGGGCTTTCTGGGTGGTCAGTTACTGTAGTGAGGAGGGATACCTAAGCTCAGAACATAACATGTTGGAAACTGCCAAGTGTGACTGTTTATTCAGAGCAAACGTGTTGGCAGGGAAGCAATACAGTAGACAAGTCCCCCTTGGTGTGCTTTCCTCCCGGCTCCCTCGGACAGTGGGAAGGGGATAATCAAGTTAGGGATTCCCATTGAGTAGCACTCTCCAAAGTGAGGAGCACACACCACTAGGGAAAAGAGTTGTTAGTACAACCTTTTATATTTATTATTAATAGCATTATCACTTTTATTTTTGAACTAGTAAACTAATGGAGTCCTGGTGTGGTACTGTGGATAAAGCACTGGACTGCAAGGTTGGCGGTTCAAACTCACCAGCTGCTCCTCAGAAACTATTTATAGGATTGATATGAGTTGGAACTGATTCAACGACACTTAACAGTAAACTAATAAAGTAGCAGTAGTAAATAATCATGAAATATCATCTACAGATGCATGCTCAAAAACTTTTTTCAGAGTTTTGAATTTCCTCTAATTGCATTGTTAAAATCATATCTGTTACTCCACATCAGACACAAATTTTTATGGGATTTTCTCTAAATTAAGCCCAGTAAGAGTATTAAATTTCCAAGGAGTCACATTTCTTGTCTACGCCAAGAAGGATCCTCCTAAGAGTTAGGCCTACCCCATCACTGGGCTGTGACCCACGGTGGAGTCCCAGTACTGAGCCTAGTGCACTGAGGAATCTGCATTCCCCCAAATCAGTGAGGCCAAGGCAGTTGTCTTGGTGGAAGTCTTTTCTTTGGATAAGTGACAAAAAAATGTCTATTCACCAATGCAACAGATGTTTTATCAAATACAGTTGGAACTGACTCAAGAGCAATCGACTGGGAGGTGGGAGGGGGGGTTCTGGGTCATCTCACTGCTCAAGGAGAGGAAAGAATTCTCATGGAGTCCTTTAATGCACTGTCCTGCCGTCTCAACAACGTATGAGGACGCTGTACACTGGATATGCCAAAACATGCCCAAGTCCCTTCTGTCAGAGTACAAGCTCTGAAGATTGAAGTTTCAGTCCTCTGAGGAATGGCTTGGCTGGCTCAGAAATCACACACTCCTCTTTTTTGCAAGTTTTTAGCCACTGTCTTTTCTTTGAGGAAATAATCAAAAATGGAAATACTTGCAAATAAACATATCACTTGACTGAGTCTTTTAAATATTTCATAGCTGCCCAGATGGAAACTAGTTTGCATGTACAGAAAACAAGTCATTGTTAGAAACCAGGAGTCAGGGGATGTGTGGGATGCGGTGCCTTCACAGCTGCTGGTAAGTCTCATTTAGAAATAGTTAAAATAGATACAGAATGCTCATTTGCAGGCTGTATCACTAACTTATGTCAGAATTGGTTCTTTCATGCAAAGCAATACTACTTTCTAGAATTGTCAAAAACATCTTTGAATAAGTTTCTTCTTCCAAAAGAAACAGAGCTGATTAAGTAGGCCAAAGAATAATTATGTCTTTGAAAGTGTCAACCTTGAAGTCAAATGGCAGATATTCAATTCAGTTACATGATCACACACTGCTAAGGACTCAAGTTTGCAGTCCATTTTATGACCCACTTATTTAGCACTGTGACTCTGTAGGATAAACACTGGACTGCTAGCCACAAGACTTGGTAATTCAAGCCCACCAGCCACTTTGTGAGAGAAAGATGAGGTTTTCTACTCTTGTAAAGATCTATAGTCTCCGGAACAAATAAGATGGTGGATCGGGTGGAAGTGCAGTGAGGAGCTCCATCAGCAACAACACAGAATACCGGACCAAGCAGCCTCAGAGATGGTGCCAGAACTCCGAACCACATATAAAGGATTATTTAGAAGGCTGGAAGACTTACAGCTAGGGGAATTTGTAGCAGAAGCAAGAAATCCATTGCTTTCTAATTCAAGATGCTCAGCTGCTCCAGGAGCCGCCATCTTGGGTGAGACCAAGAGAGGGAAGGTTCAGAGCAGCCATGGACGCCTGACAGAACCACAGAAATAAAGGTGTGGACACTTTTTTTTTTTGGGGTATCTGTTCATTGGTCCCTCAATGCCTGTGCACCTCCATTCTGGTGGCTATAGGGGTGCCTGAGCGAGTGGACACCCACCACCACCCTCAGAGGGTTCTACTACGCATGCGCACAGATCTCCTCAAAATTTAAAGAGACAGTTTCCAATTAAAACCAAATGGCCACAGCTGGTCCTGAACTGTTTATAACTAGAAAAAAGGCCTGAACAGGGATTGTGGAGTGAGACAGACAGACTAAAAAAGAAACAGGCTGAAAATTAAATCCTAAGTTATGTCAAAATGATCAACAGTGGCATCTTTAAATTTCTCAGGAAGAGTTAAAAGGGAAGCCCATTTCCTGATCACATCTACTTGGAGGCAATCAGATACCATAAAAAGTACCAAAATACACACCCATCTAAGTATTAAGCTAATTCCTGAATATTCCCAAAAAAAACAGAATCAGATGACCATATCTGCACATGTCCAGAAACGAGATAAAGTGACTGAG